CGGACCAAATAATGCAGATCATTTGGTCCGGAAATCACGTGGTCGGACGATTCCCCCTACACGCTGGCGATTTCGTTAAAAAGTCCTACTTAAAAAAATTATAGATGTTTGAACTTTATATAATTTGTTCATAATTTAAGTACGTGAACGTGATTTTATTGATTGGCATTTATTATAATTCAGGTTGGCACCAGAAAAGTCTACGGGGCAGTGCTGAATCACGTGGTCTTTGACACAAGTATCAATTTTACATATAATCTTATTCTAACGCTACCGTAATTTGCCATTTAGAATATCCCCCTATAATATCATACCCCACATGAATTGTACCCGGTCCGATGCATGGTTTACAAAATGAGTAGAATGTAACATACCCCCTCTCTCCCTTGTAATTCTGGTCAAATATAGGCTAATTCTGGCTGAAAATCCAAACATAACGTCAATTTTCCGTAATCACGTGAGCGTGGATTTTGAATGACACGTGATCCTGCACTGTCCCGAAGCACTGTCCGTAGACTTCCCGTTTAGCTTTCCAGCATCATACACATGATCATAGATATATACACGTAGTTAGACGCGCGTAGCAAAAGTAAATAATCTCGAAAAACTTGCATTCTTCAGTCTCTAGACACGCTTACAACAATGTCGAATTCGCCTCGTCGTTCACCACGAAAGAATAAAAGAAGGGCTAGCACCTCTTTTTTATTCTCAAAGTCTACCTCGAAACTTGAGAGTGAAGAAGAGCTACAGGAGGTGTTAAAGAAAAGGGAACAACGAAGATACACCATAGTTAGCATCTTATACCTTTTGTTTTCTTGAGTTCTATACGCATGCAAGATAGCCTGAATAATTAAAAAAATTTTAAAATAGGCACCTGCCAAAAGTATTCTTAAAACTTCGACAAACTCGGAAAACACGCTAACCTTGGATCTTACTCAAGGAAGCAACACTACTTCAAAAAGTACTCTCAAAACTTCAGCTGACGCAGAAAACACTGTAACGCTGGATTTCACCCAAGGAGGGTAGGTATATTTCTTGAGAAATATACTTGGATTAATAACATTAAATTCTTAATTAATTAATCAATCAGAACACCGAGAAGAAAATCTTTGGGCCGAAGAGTTAGCTTTGCTGCAACAGCTCAAGTTAGGTTAGGCTTTAAATTACTTTTTAGTATCTATCTTGAGTTCAAAGCCTTCAATATTCATTCAATTTTTATTCAATAGACTCTTTGAAAAAGTTACTCCTGAATCTAATCCCAATCCTGAAGCACCTTCGTATATATCAGGAGATTCTGATGGATCATCTTCAGAAATCATGAATTCTACCCTTTTAGATAATGTCGGACTTTTGCCCCGTATTACAAACGATAATTTATTTGCGAATTTGCAGGTGCAGGATAATGATCAGGGGAAAAATGATCTTGATAAAGATAGTCATGAAGATTCAGATATGAGCTTTGATGACTTTAATAATATGGACAATGAAGATTCTGACATGGACATTGACGAATCTGACATAGACATTGACGAATCTGACATGGACATTGACGAATCTGACGTGAACATTGGCGAATCTGACGTGAACATTGACGAATCTGACGTGAACATTGATGAATCTGATGTGAAAATTGATGAATCTGATGTGAACATTGATGAATCTGATGTGAACATTGATGAATCTGATGTGAACATTGATGAATCTGAAGTTCAATTAAATGCTATTAGAGAGTCTAATGACTCCTTGTTACTATTAAATGCTATTAAAGAGTTTTATGAAAAATTTGAGGTTTTCTTTATGGATCAATCTTCTATACCAATGCGAAGGCAGACTATAATTCCAGATTTCGGTATTATAAAAGTTGAAAATCGTCAATATTTTTTTTTCAAAATTCATATTATACATCTATATCTGTAAACAAACTCAATATAGGCGAAGAACCCAAATTAGCCGATTATGTTAACGCAGTCGCGGTTATTCATCCACAAATGGAAATGTATGAATCTGTAAGTGATATTACATTAATAAATAAAATAATCTCAAGATTTCTTCGCTCGACATATTCTTATTAATTGGTAGAATTCAGTATTTTTCATGGAACAAGATAGAAGTCTACGAACAAAGATTTCTAAAACTGAATCGAATGAGGATCATCAACATCTGTTGCAGCAATATTTAGACACAACCCCTGACGTTAAGGAATTGATAAAAGTAAAGTTCAAATTACTTGAATTTGCTTGTTTTGCTGATTTCAAATTAATCTCGTTACCTATTATTTCAATTGCATTAGCCTCGGTTCCGAATTATCAAAAAATATTGTAGATTGGCTGCGAAAAAAGAATGGCATGATTTACGTGAAACTCAATTGGAGGATTTGAGAAAGCGACTGGAAGATAATTTGTTAACATTGGAAAAGGTAATGAAGAAATTAATACTAAAGTAAATATATCGACACTCATTCCCTATCACTTTGAATTCAGTAGGACAAGGAAAAAGCGGAGAGCTCCTCGAAAATAATAAGTGAATTATTACCAAAATTGAGAAACTATCGTCAAGAATTAGCAAATAAGCTAGCCGTTGCTCAGGCAAGGCAGAGCGAGATTGAAAAATGTGATCAAGAACAATTAATGAATATGGTAGAGGCCGTGGAGGAACAGAACACGCAAATTAGCAAGTTTCAAAATGACTTGAAAAGAGTAATTGCGGACCGGGACATAATTCAGCAAAAGATAAATGACTTGAAAATAGAAATGGAACGATCTCGTGAGGTAGGAAAGATAAAAAATTATGTTTCAATGAATTTTATTATTAATTTCTTCTAATGCTAACATAGAAAATAGAAAAGGCAAAATACACAGTTAACGAGGATAAGATTTACACAAAGGAAGATATAAAAAAGGCTCGAGGTGAAATAGATACATTAGAGTTTCTTTGGAAATTATTTCTCTTTAGTCTAATTAGAAAACTATTTTCACAGATTATTATTATCGACTTCAAGAACAGTATTCATGGAGACCATTAACTATTTCTCCCCAAACTATTGAAATGGTCTATGACAATCATCTATATGTGAGATTAGACATGGAATCTATTATATGGAACGAAGAGGGAGGAGAAATGATGGATGAACAAAAAGGGAATGAATCGGGAAATCACGAAGAATCAGTGGTTCTTGAATTGCGTCTTGAATCACAAGGAATTAAGAAATCAAGAGAACTTGAATATGTAAGTTCTAAATATCACCATTACATGCTATTTAACTTTTAGTAATACACAATCTTATTTCTAGTACGAAATAATATTGCGGTGTCTTCAATCTACAACTCCAAAGTATTCATCTCAGATTAAAGTTGGAAAGGTATGCGACCACAAAATATTTACTTTTGTACAGTTTGCCTGATTTCTAATTATATTCCTTCAGATACGCGAGATTTTTCGTGGCATCTCGGCCTTTTGGAAAAAAGCAAAGCTTTTTTACCCTGAGATCGAACTATTGAAACGCAAATTCGCCACTGAGATATTAGCCATCAGAGACGAGAACACCGAACAGATATCTTTATGCCTACGTTCCTCTTTTTTCATCAAGCCAACAAAATTTTTTTTAAATTTCGTATTCAAGTATCAAGATATTCTTTCTTTGCCCGAATTGCATCAGCTTCGATGGAAATTGGAATTGGAATATGGGGATTTTAAGTGAGTAGTTATTGATTTAATATTTATTAAATGGGTTCTATTCTTTAATTTTTCCCTTGTATTAATTCAGCGACGAAATTCAAGTTGAAATATCAAATGTCATTCGACAAAAGTTTGAAAATGGTGGTCCTAAAGCATTGAGGGGAGCATGTGACGATATATTAAAGTTATTCAAATGATTCGTATTGAAATATCCATATTTCAATTTTGAAAATTATTTAGATTTGCTATTTATTAGTAAATATGCATTTATGATTATTAAATTTGCAATAAAATTTATCAAAACTTTATTAAGTGAAGTGATGATTTAAATAATATAATCTGTACAATTAAAAAATGGCTTTAGCTAATAAGAGTAAGAATGAATGTAAATAGTAAGTGTTCTAATATTCTAAAAAATGTCCCGCCAACATTTCACCATATTCTAAGAACACCAACTATTTTTGATTAAAGTTCATCAGAAGTTAACATCCAGCCCAACCCTATCCTCTATCTATTAGTCAAATGTTTTAATATATATACCCGTACTCCTTTCACGATCACATTGCCCTTTAAGTAACCAAGGTTATTCTTCGGACCATAATTTCATAGTGATATAACTTGTGTAGACCAAGGCAATTATTCCAAATAAAATCATAAGAACATCGATAAGTTTAGCATAGAACGTCTCGGCTGATGCTTTGAAATGGAATAAAGGCGGGTAGAGGAAGCAGAGTGGTACACTGTAATAATAAAATATAAACATGAGAATATATTTCTAAAATTTTTTACAAACTAATATATACGAGAAATGAATACAATACATACCATGCAAAAGATCCAATTAAAGAAACGAATTTATCCAAGTCACTAGCACCACCCCATGCAATCAATGCACAAAAGAGGACAACAATAACTCGAAACAAATTCTTTTGCCATTTTACCCAAGGATCGGCTTTTCCACTTTTCGTGAATAATCCTTGTTCCATAATCCTAATTGCAGGGAAAAGTTGCAAAGGTATGGAAAGTAAAATAGCTAAAGCGTACAGAAGTTGTACACTTTGTACCACACGATCATCCGACGGCAAGTTAAGTATTACAACGGTTTTAATCTCGCTGCCGAAAGCTGCATACGAAAGAACTCCGATCGAGGTAAAAAGAATAGTGACGAATATCATCACTCCAGTGAGAACTTTGGGAAATTTTTCCGGATCTTTCATTGACTCGGTTATTGGAATGATCTGAATTTATGAAAAGATAAAAAATTGTATAATGAATATTTTATTCAAAATAATCAAAAAAAAAAAGAATTGTCTATTGATTTACCAATCCTATTCCTTCGAAAGTGAAGACTGCCGTCCCAATAAATAAAGCAAAATCTTGTGGATTGAACAACTTAATGTCCCCCACTCCGCTTGTTGTTAATACTAAAAGATCATAATAATACAAGTATAATAATCCGAATAGAATGAAAGCATCTGCTATCAAAGCTGTAAATGATAGTCGATGTATTTTTCGTATCATGGAGAGCGGAATATAACATAATACTTGTAAAAGAATAAAATATTTCTTTTCGAGAGACAAATTCATTGCATTTGTCGCAAATGACATGAGATTCTCCGCAACAAAAATCATGTACGCACAAACAAAGCCAAACTAGATATAAAAATTTATTCATCTTAATAAGAATGTTTCAAGATGTTTCAAAAGCGTGAAGTATTTCAAGTATGTTTTAAAAATGCTTGCCTGAGAAATAGTAATGGAAAATAATACCATATATCTCATCCAATTACCAAATAATGCACCACCAATATCTGTCAATTATAGAGAATGGCTTTAAACGTAATCTAGAAATGCAGCTAATATTTAAATACATAATACATACCCCCAAAACTATAGGGAATCCTTCGGCGTGTTTCCACTAGAAGTAGGAATGCAAATAGAGATATTGCCCCGATACAAATCAAGACTATCGTAGAAAAGACCATGCCACCGTTGGAAAATCTAGTATAATATAATATATATTACATGAAAAAATTTGACTTATATGAAAACATTAATTACGATATTAAAACTTACGCTTTAGGCAAAAACATTACGCCAGTACCAACAAAAGATTTTAAGAGTAAAAACACAGCTTTTGATGGACTGGCAGTTCCATGTACTTCTCCAGGCATTTGGATCAACGGAGATTCTTCGCTAACAACTTCCTCATAATCAGCAAAAGCTAATTCATCCTCATCATCTGATAAATCTTCGCCGGCAAAGTGACCATACATTGTCAAAAAATCAATAAAATTTTCTGTAAAGAAATTTGGTGGTTCCTTTCCCTCTTGTTGGGCCTTCATCGATACATAATGACGACGAAATCCACCAGGTTGTCGAATGTTAGATATCTGTGGATCGCTCGATTCCGGACGAGGCAAATAAAGAGATTTAGAGCGTGTGCGTTTCAAAGGTTCTGTTTCTACATCTTGGTGCCATTTATACACTTCGTGTGTTGCATCACCACCTGGAAGTTGAATCGAAGTCGAAAACGTAGGTTCAATATAACTACCGTTTGCTTCGGCGCTGCGAGCAAGATCATCTGAGGTAACTAGATGCTTTTTTACAATTTCTGCCTTTTTTTCCTTTGGTATATCTAAATAAACAGCTTCTGCAGTGGGTTCCAAGGATCCATAAGAGTTTGGCCCAGGAAACTTTCCATTTGGACTTACAGCGAGGTTTCTAGGTGAAACACCAAATCTTTGTGGCTGAGACCTTGATAACGCGTTTGGTTGAGGAATGGGGGGAGAAGTGGTCAATCTATTTATGTTATTGATTCGATTGTAAGAGTTTGGACTAGTTCCATTCTTTAGATAACTATCAACAATTTCAACTGGTTCTTCAATCTCTGAGGACATTCGGTTTATTTATATTAAAATATAATTATTTGAAAAATTTAAAATTTAAAACTCTTATTATATTATATATCAGAGAGTGAATAACTTTCAGCTAGTTTTAAATCCTTGGAACCTCCTCGTAAAAGGGGCGCTAGATTGATTAATAAAACAAATCAATCTGTATATGTACACGCTCAACTCAGCAGATTAATTCGAGCCAAAAACAGACAAGACTTTTAGGAATGATTAAACACATGATAGGGTCATATCTGTCGATTAACCAACCAACTAAAGAGATAAATGAGAAAAAATGTGAAACTTTTTCGGATATTTCTTATTATGGCTGAACAAATAATTTGCTCATATCTTTTGGGCAAATTGCATCGTCCCACCATTGTTAACAATAGTGAGCTATTATGTCATAGATAAGTTTGTCATGTCATAGTCCTGTCAGCTAGTATGAACCTAATTTGCACCAGCATAACAATGACTTCATATCAATGTTAAATTGCATTATTTTTGTAGCTCATTTGGTTATATTATTAAAAATAAAAAAAAGATATAATAAAATTTAGTAAAAATTGAAATTCAGAATGAAATAACATAAAATAACCAATTTAATTGTTTTCAAAAAGTATTATAACTTTTGAATAAATTGTTAAATAAAACATTAGGAATTTGAAATATTAGCAAAATTGTAATAAACTTCAAAATATAAAAAAATATTCAGTTTAAAAAATGCAAATATTTCCACATGTAGTGGACCAAATTAAATGATTTTGATACCATTAGAAAGATCTAGTCAAGATGCATCTAATGGTATTAAAATTATTAAAGTTGGTTAACTAAATGTGGAGATATCATATTTCAAAAATAACATACAAAATTATACAAAATTTTTTTACAATTTTGTACATTGTTTTTGAAATATAATATCTCTGCATTTAGTTAGCCAAATTCAATGAATTTAATATTATTAGATATACTATAACTAGATCTTTCTAATAATATCAAAGTCAAATAATTTGATTTACTAAATACAAAAATATTTGAAAAAATTAATTTTCTTTATAGAATAATAAAGAAATTTTGTATAATTTTGAATGATTTTGTATGATATTTTTGAGATGCAATATCTTTACATTTAGTAAATTATTTAATTTGATCTATCACATATGAGAATATTTATATTTTTTTAAACTAAAGATAATCTCCTAAATTATTTTTGAAAAAAATAGTGTTTTAGCAAATAATTTGATTTTGTTATATTGCTTATATTAATGAATACTTAAAAACCACCTAGAAATACTTGTTTTGGTTTGTAGAATTCAAATAATTTTAGAAAATAATTTTGACTACTAATAAAATAATTTCAGATTTAATTTCAGCAAGTTAATTTTAGCAGATTATTTAATTAAATGATGTTATTTCAGCAACCATTTTTATTTTAAATTGAATATTTTTTCTTCATCTTTCATTATTAGATTCAAAATTTATTGTAATTTTACTAATATTTCAAATTCTCAATGTATATATGTGATATTATATATAAATTATATGATTAGATTATAATTAAAAAATTATATATTATATATATAAATATAAATATTATATATATTCAAATATATATTTTCATATTTATATATTTTTTATATTTTTCATATCTAATTGATTTTCATATTTAAAATATAAAACTATTTACAAAAAATTCGTGTTTTCTTTTTTTTGATCAAATTTAGAAACTATATGAAAGTTAAATGATTTTCTTTTAGTAACTTTGTAAAACTTGAGTAATAGCAATATCTAATATTAATAATATATTAATATATATATATATATATTAGCAAGCATATTAAAAATTTTAAATATTCTTATTCTATCATATTAATTTATTCTTTATTTTTTGTGCTTATTATCACATTAAAGAATATTTTCTTTTCATAAAAGTTATTAGTAGTATATATAATATTTGTATTTTCTAAAATAGTGTTATAATATGAATTTTATATATTATAAGATTTATTATATTTTATTTTAATTAAATAGTAAATTACATTTTTTTTATTTTATACTATTTATGTTTTATTTATATTATTCTTTTTTATTTCATACTATTTCTATTTTATTTATATTATTTTTTATATATTTTATACTATCTATTTATATTTTATTTTATTTTATTTTATTCTATTTTAATTATATTTTATACTATCTTATACTATTAATTATAATTTCATATTATATAATTTTAATATGAAAAATATATTTTAATCAATTAATATTATCTAATTTAATTAATATTAATTATAAATTATAAATCTTATATAATATTAAAGTGAACAATATATAATAATTAAATAAATAAGCAAAGTAAGCAAATTGAGTACTTTTTATATAATAATAATATCAATCAAATTTAATTTTAGATTTTAATGATTGAATAATAAATAACTTATATAAATATAATATTGTCATCATTCACTATTTTTCTTAATTACCTGACATGAGATATCATCAGATTCTGAATGATATTTAATTAATTTCTATTTATAAATATTTATTTATTTAATTATCTATTTATATTTAATTATCTTTTATTTATATTTTGTGATATTATAAATCACCAATCACTTTATTTATTTATTATGCAATTTTTATTAATTATTAGTAATTACATTTTATTAGTTCTTGATTTCTAATTATTAATCTATTTATTAATTTATTTTTAATTATTAATTTATCTAATTTATTTAATATAATGTCAATATTTCGCTAATTTCATTTGTAATATTTAGATTAATTTGTATTATATTTATTATTTCTTGGCATTATATATATTATAACTTTATTATTTTATTAGTTTTTTATATTGTTACAAATCTTGTAGATTTGTATTACTTAAATGAATATAATTTAACATAGAAAATCAGATATCTTGTAGTTTATCTTTGATCTTGATAATAATAAAAAATAGATCGGACTGCTGATTATTTTAATTATTTTGTTCTTATTGATTTCTCTTGTTTTTTTTATTATAATAATTTATTACTTGTTGAATTATTATTAATACTTGTTAAAAGCTTCATTTATAAAGATTATAAATACAATCTTTATCACTTGATATTGGAACTTATATTTTAGAAAAATCTTTATTTTATACTTTTGCATGAATACAATCACTATCATTTATCTTGTGAATATCTTCATCAGCAAAGATTACAAACTGGTGACAATATATATCTTAGCTCAAGAAAAGTTAGTTAGTTAAGTTAATTAATTAATTAATTAATTCTTTTATTTTTTTATTTGTATTCTTTTATTAAAAATCTCTCATCTGTGATAAGTAATATCTTCTATTTGATATAATTAATCTCTTGTCATTATTCTGCAAAGTTAATTATTATTATTTAGAAACTTAATAAAAAGAAAAATGATTATTTTAAAAGTTAATTGATAAAAAAAGATTACTTAATAATAAATTATTTAAATTAAAAGAAGATTTCTGAATTTATTTTAACTGCTGTTATGATTAGGCTCTTGGTGAATATTATTGCAATGTAAGTATTCAACCAATATCTAATGACAGTAATTTTATGGTTACTCAATCTTGTCATAACCGAATAAGTTGGCTTAAATATTCCACATGACCAACTGCTAAATATATCAGGTTATCCCAGACTAGGTTTTCATCGATGACCCAAACACGTTGTGGAGCCTTAAGGGTCATTCCTTGACTGGTGTGAATAGTCCATAGCATATCCAAGTTCCCAATCTATGACTTTTTTATCTGCCAATATATCTTTTAAGAATTTGTCAGGGAGTGTATTCAAGGGTAAGTGTATTATATCATTTTTTACTAACTCCCTTTTTTCAGATGAGCCGGGAATCTGGACAAGACAGTTTTGTTTACGTCCATCTTTTGGCCTATAAATTAACGGGATCGGTATATTGGGATATTTTTTTCGATGAAGTTCTAAGCATTTTTGGGAAGCAATTCTTCGGGAAAGTAGGTGTGCTGATAAGATGCGGTCTGATGGCTTCCATTCAGCTTCAAGATATTCCCATTTTTCCGTAACTGGAAGTGCATCACGGAATAAGTTTGACTGTACTCAATTATTTTGGCGTCGCATTTTTTTCTTAAGCTCTTGTAATCTAGGACATTTGGCCCGATAGTCAGTTAAGACTTCCTCATAGTAATCAACTCGCTCTTTTAACCAGTCTCCGAAGAATGGTGGAGGCTGAGCGTCATCCCCACAACAGATTACCTGACATTTTTGCTCTAGTAAGTAGTCGATAAACTTCTCTAGAATATGTCTAGGCACTGTACATACTTCATCCCAGATGACAACTCGTGGAAATTTCTTTTCTCCCGTGCGTTCAGGAGTCCACTCTCCTACACCGTTCCATCTAAAGAAACTATGCCAAGTTTGGGCTTTTACCTTACGATCATTTTGGAAGTCTTTAGCCAGTGCATTCGTATGAGTAAAGACTACCATGTTTATGTCCTTAAATATTCGGATTGCGCGTGTTGTCTTTCCAGAACCACCTCCTCCATTAAGATAAGAAACTTGGGATCTTGTAATAGGATCATGAATTGATGGAGCATTACTATCGGGAACATTTTTTACTGACCTCCAATGCCTATCTTTTGGCCAATATACAACATTAGGATCTGGGCCATGAATCTTCTCACCTTTATCACGCCATTGGCCAGGTTGTATTTCTCGAATCCTTTCTTCTAGAGGCTCAGATACTTCAGTAATGGCTTTACTACTAGTATTGCTAGAAGGCTTCTTATCAGAGGTAACTTCCCAAAAACCTTTGCGAGCATACCAATCCCAAAAGCAGTCATGACAAACAAATGGTTTATGTTTACTACATGGAAAATATTCTCCTTTCGCTAAAGGCATTTTAGTTTTTTGAATACTTTAACCGATTTTATAAGTGGTGGGTTTTCACACACTGCGCATGAATGCCAATCATGTGGACATAGAAATTTACTAATATTTGCCGAATCTTGGGATGGCCGATCGTTTTAGTCTTTTGCTTAACTTGCTTAAAGAAAGCCGATACATTTTCGATCTTATATAAGGCCTCTTCGTATATATAGAATCCGTTGCGCTTCTTACTACTTCATTAGGGCCAAATCTTCGGAGCATTTCCAGCAAGTTTATATGAGCATAAGCTAACATTGAGGCTCGCAAATGTGTGTACTGAGGCTGATGACCCTCGTAGTATGTAAGTATATGTCCAAGAGGACATTTATCACTACCTGCATATGTCCCCTCCTTAATACAATCCTGGATTAAGAAGTCAAGCTCACCTTCGTCTATTACAACCCGGTGAGTAAGACGTTTTTCTTCAACCTTATTCCCTGTGTGAACTTTCCTATGATTGCGCAACTTATATCCCGATTTTTAGGCAACCATACCTTCGTTTGCTTGGTAAGAGAAATAATAGCTTCTCCTATAGTTACACTTTCTAAGATACTTGCTTCAAGAAGATATCGTAGAAGCACGATAGGTGTCCATCCTTTTGTCTTCCCACATCCTTCTCCACTTTGACAAGCAAAGTGCTTTCCATACCAAACAGGAATTGCTGGATGAATATTAGAAACAAATTTAAAAGTTCTTACCTGAGCAAATCCGGTTATATCATCGTCTTGTGGCAATTCCCCATTCACTGCTATTCGAACAAGATGATGTGTTAGATGCCCAAACCGCTTAAACCATGGTGAACACTCTCCTTGACCACGCATACTTGCCGGGTAACATTCCTTCATGTCTATACATACAACATCTCCGACTTGATAATTAGGTGCATTCCAGCGTCCTCCATGCCCATGTTCGACACAAAATTGCTTTATATTTTCATGTACGTAGGATACCAATCATTGATCTCGTTGGCAAGTTTGCCTCCGGCATGATTAGCACCAAATACCTGTTCTGCTAACTCAACTATTTTAAGCGATTCTAGGGATTCCTGCTTTCTTTCCTCATTAATTATTCCTTCCTGAAATTGCCAGTCTACCGCATCCTCAAATAATTCCTTACATGCTTTTATAATATCTGTATGCTTCATCCATGTCCTAAATGTACGACCATCTTCTAGAACAAACTGTGATACTGATTGGATTTCTTCCAGTGTTTCGCCTTCTCCAAGTCCAAGTCCAATAAGCTATATTACTTGTGGACCTTGAAGAGCTTTATTGATAGCCTTCCACGCATTATCACTATAATACTCCACCATTCGATCTCTTGGAAAATGATGATTTCTAGGGAATGTGTGGCCATTGTGGACTACCATCTCTATCTCTTCAAACCTACCTGTTCGATATTTTCCACTATTAAAAATAACTCCATGGGTAATATCATGCAATGTGATTGGAAAAAAAAGAATGCGTCAACCTGGTGCTCGAGTAGAGGATGTAGCAGAATTGGAAAAGATACTTAAACGACCATATACCAATTTTTTGCTTACGTGTACTAGTCAGACCATGCCCTCTTTTTGCTTTTTCAAAATGCTCTACTACTCGCTGGGCTACACAGTTAAGTGTACCTTCTTTCATAGGCATTAATCGTTTACTATCTGGCTCTCGGATTCTATATAGTCCATAGACAACTGCATTAGCCGTAAGCCGTTGCGAACCTCTCCAAGGTCAACATTTGGACCTCCTGTAACGAATTTCTTGCCAGCCCTCTTTATAGGGGGTCCACTAAAGCGGGGTAGTATCATGTGACATGTGATTCGATCCGGATCGTATCATGTGATTAAAATCATGTGAAAATTCATGATTGGTCGAATCAAATAATGTGAACTATAACGCATTATTTTAAGAGCGTTAATTGTTAGGAAATGCATATTAATGGGAAGGGATCATTATTATTTAATTGTTAAGTGTTAGAAATGCATATTAATAGAAAGAAAGGGAGAAAAGTGAATTGCTTAAAAATATCTAACCATCTAATTAATTATTTTATTGATATTATTTCTCAATTAAATACAAAATTCTTTATATTGCTATTTTAAAAACTGGATTCAACAATTTATCTAAACAGATGATAAATGCTCTAGTGGCATCTGCATCATCTTTATCCTTCATTGTCTAGTATTTATCTTACACCCTTTCTATAAGCTCACCCATCTATAACTTACATATTTCTACCTTTTTCTTCTCTTAAGTCTGAACAGGTTCAGATATTTTGATTATTTTTCAATACTCATACACTTCAAAATCAATTTCTGCAAATAATTATTTAAATTTCTTTCAAATATTAGTTAGTAACTTATTATAACTGAATAAATACTCATAACGAAGATAGTGATGAAAAAATATGCAATGACAATTTGGTGATGTTAGATTTGATGACAGCTTTCCTTTTGTAATTCTAACATTCATAGTGACAGTTTCACCTAAAATTAGCTTTTAGATTAAATAGAGAAATTTTTGAATTTTCTCAGGAATTTCATCATTAATGTTAATTGCAGAGATTCATTTTTGACAAAAATTGAAAGTAGCTTTTCTGAATTCAGCTGTTTTTTATTATTGAGTTCAATAATCTTGTGGCATGCTCCTAACAAATCAAGAAGTAGTAATTTGATGATGATGATAAAGAAAAATGTGATATAATTACTAAATCAAGCTGTAATTATAGTTAATAATAACAGTTGATAATACTTATCAATTAAGTTATATTCTCTTGTGGTTAATCTTTTTAATTCACTATGCAATGATTCTAATAAATTTGTAAAAGTAACTTAAAATAAGAGAAATAAATGTTAATGTATTTAAAGCATTCATTTCTTTATGTTTTTTGAATAATTGCGTTGAATATAATAAATAATATCTGGAATGAGACAGGTGATGATGATATTATGAATTACTTTCTTGCAATCTATACTTGTTCTCTTATGTATAACTAGAATTAATTTATTACATGTTATCAAATAGTAAATATTATATAATTATATACACATTGTGTGAATAATACATAAAATAATGTCAAAATTTTGTTCATCACACATAATATTGGAAAAAGTATTTGTGATACTATTAATCTCCACATTACTATGATCACTAAGTATGTACCAAAAATATCAATAAGATGTGAACTCTCAAATTATTTTCAATATCTTGATTATTATATTATTGTTTTCATTACTTATAAGAAAGTATATATTCATGTTTTAATAACTGTAACTATCACAGACATACAAAGTAAATAGATATAAGGAGTGTTTGTTAGTGTTATAAGTGAAGTTTACAAATATAAGTTATCTATAGTGTCATAATTTTTCCAATTACCAAGAACTCGTAAAATAAAAATCTTTTAATAATTATTAAATAATATCAAAATATTTAACTTTATAATTTTTGCTGACTAATAACTTAAGAATATTTTGAATGTTGAGCTCTAGATTATGCTTGCTGATAAAATAAGTTATTAATAATTTATGTACTTTTTGTTAAATATTGATAACTTCTGTTCAGCATAAATTTTGATCAATAATACCTAAACTATTCTTTTCTACAAGTTTTTTAACAGTGATCATGATGATTAATGAAGTATACAATTTTATTATTTCATTAGTTATCATTTATTTAATAATTTAGTCTGTATATTAAAAAAATATAATAATAATAAGTATAGTAAGTATATAAAGAAATAGTAAGTATATAAAGAAAAATAGTGAGTAAAATGTGAGAATATAGAGAAATATAAGAGTATAGTGAAATGTAAAAATATAATGAAATGTGAAAATATATAATATAGAGAATTAGTAAAAGTATATAGAGAAATAATAAAAATATATAAAAAAATGATAAGTACATATGTCTTAATAATTATAAATATTATTATATTTTAATAACTTAATTTGCTTGTATTTAACATAAAATTATAATTAACTTGTATTTAATATAATAATTATAATTAATTTTCTTCTCTCTCCCTCTCTCTCTTTTTACTCTTTTGAAAAAAGATAATGTTGCTCTTGAAATATGATAATATTTATGATAATATTTCTCATCTTGAAAAGTTTATTTTATTTTGCAAGTGATATTATATGCAATCTGAATTAAATTAATATAGATTATATTTGGATTAACTTAATCTGGATTGCACTATCCTGTTTTAATGTTCCTTTATTATAGGAAAAATTAAAAATGGTGCAACAAGTATATAACATTTATTTATTACCTGTTGCAATATATTGCAACTCCAAAATTTTATAAACTGCAACTAGTTGCAACTAGATAATGCTTTATTTGTTATCACATTGCAATAATTGCTGTGCTATCTTTAGGAAGAATTATTTCTAACAAATTTTATTTTATAAGAAATCTATTATTATCTATTATATTTAAAATTTCTTGACACACTCTTTAGTTATTCCAGCTTTATACATTTTTTTTTTCAAAACTTTCTTCTATAAATACTATTCATTCTTGATTTCCTTTGTCTTTTGTCTTATATTTCTTTATTAATAACTTTATACATTCTAAAATGCTTTTTTTATTACATTACATTCTTTGTAAATATACTTTTTTTGCCTTTTTTACAACTTTCTTTGCATTTTTAGCTGAAACTTTTGCAAATCAGATCAAAAATATATATTTAATATCATCTACTTTAAATATATCTTTTGCCATTTGAATTTTTTTTGTCATATTTTCTGATATTTTTCATTATCTGAAAAGGGAAATAATTAAGATACTTTTTTATCTAGATTCTTTGGATCACCTTCACTCTCTTAATCTTTAATTTGTAATATAATAATTAATTCTTCTCTATAAACTTGAGTTGCTGGACCAGGACCAGCTTTGGGATTTACTTGATCTTTAATCTATGTGAAAGAGACTTTTTCTAATTTTTCTAATATTAAAAGATAATCTGTTTTTGGATCATATTGTTCAAGAACAAGATAAAGTTAAATATATTGATTTAAATCTTTTGATATGTTATGATCTCATAAATCGAGTTTTTTTATTTTTTTCCTCATGTTTTGAAATACTTATCAGAATTTGAGCATTTGAATTAACTCATCTCTTTATTTCTTCTTCAGTAATATAATTAATTTCTTTTTTTAGACTAGAAGTCTTAGAAATTGGAGTTTTTCTTTGTAATTCTGATTTGTAAATAGGTGTAGGGATAATCACTTTTAGTTTTTCCCTTTTTCAATCTCTTTCTTGAGTATGAACTATGGAAACTGAAGATTTTGATCAAATAGGATTGGATACTGGAATTTGTGATTGAGATCTGATTACTTTAAGAGTGTATACTCTTCTTTGATTAATATTCTCAGAAGATAAATTGTATTAATTTTTGTACTTGAATATGCTGATAAAACTTTTATAAAGTAATAAGAGTTTTATTATAATATTTACAAGTTCAATTTTTTTTATCTTTTTATGTTATAATAATAAGTTTAATCTCTAATATATATAAACTTTTGATCAATTAAAGATATTTAATCATAATATCTCTATATTCAATTGCTATTTTTTTATTTTGAATTATTTAAGAAAAAGAAAGTATTAATCATGCTTTATTTATAGTAAACCTATAGAAATAGATAATAGCTGATATAACTAATATAATAAGAATTATTATATAATTTAATATGTAAATAAGCTTTGGAATAAAACTTAAATATATAATTAATATAATAAAAAAAGATTTCTTTAGAATCAAATAAACTTTAAAATTAGACTTAGTATATATATTGTTATAATAGTAATATAAAAATTGCAAATTCAAAAATAATCAAAAAATATGAAAATTCCAAAAATATTTATATAATAATAAAATTCTCTAATATTATTTTACTTTATTATTTCACTTTTTATTTTTTTACTTTTAATTTTTCATTTTTATTTTTCACTTTTTGATTATTTCACTTTTTATTTTTCACTTTTATATATATTATTTCACTTTTTTGACTTTTCACTTTTTATTTTTCACTTTTTAATTATTTCACTTTTTATTTTTCACTTTTACATATATTATTTCACTTTTATT